AGATAAATACATAGGTGGAAGCCAGGCATAGAGAGCCTTGTGAAGCATTTCTTCTCTCCTTTCTTCCCCTGCTCCTTTCCTTCCTTTCTTACATTTTGATTCTTCCTTCCTTCCTTCCTTCCTTACTTCCTTCCTTCCTTCCTTCCTTCCTTCCTTCCTTCTCTCTCTCTCTCTCTCTCTCTCTCTCTCTCTTTCTTTCTTTCTTTCTTCTTTCTCCTCTTCTCCTCCTCCTTCTTGCTGTTCTTTTTTTCTTTCTTTAAGACTAGGAATAGTGAGTTACTTGGTAATCAATTAAAAGGAAGGTAATTTGCTTTTTGTAGAGTGAGGGTGAGAGTTAGATAAACAAACTCAAACTAACAAACCTAAATAAAAAAATAAACAAATAAACAAACAAACAAACAAATAAATATTTGGCATAGAGCAAAAAGAAGGCTGGTCTAAATGTCCTGCAGAGTTGATGGTAAATTAATCAACTAATTCATGACCTTCTGGGAGTCAGTTGAATGGGAAAGGGTTGTATGTAGTACATGAATTTACAGGCACTTTGGTTACACTGGGGCTTTGTCGAAATAGTGTATTAAAACTGCTTTGAGAGAGTTGGAGAAGTAACTGAGCAAACTCTCAGGCTATGTGAAAGAATTTAAAAGATGCTTGCTTGACCCTCCACAGTGAAAATAGAGATTTGGAGGGTAAACATTTCAGTGTATGAGATGGTGTTAGGAGTCAGACAAAGGAAGAGGGATGTCATTTGAGATACCTTCAGAGGTGTATTTTCCGGGTTTTGTGTCCCATTCAAACTCTCCTCTTACCCTAGAGGAATGCCTGTGATTGGAAAGGGATATACTTTTGCCACTTCCCTGCTTGTCACTTCATAAAACTCACTATGTTTAAGCTTCTAGGCTGACACTATTCAGCAGGGAGCAGCAGGTGGTCAAGAGCTGAATCCTGTTAATGGCTCCAGAAAGCTATTTCTCTTATGCTCCCCAGAGCTTCCAGTAATATAAGCTAGTAGATGCCCCGAATTCTGTCATTGTCCTCCCCAGTTCTCTGGGCCACTCTTCTGCATTCTTGGAAGTCCTGTTGGACAGAGTGAGTGAAAGAAGCAAGAGTAGACAGAAGATTGGGGCAGGAGCTTTTGTAGGTCTTGGTGAAGGAGATGAATTAGCTGAACTTAGGGAGAACAAACTGAGATAGAAGAAAGGCCTGGAATACAAGTGACAGTAGGGACAGAGCAGGCTGCAAAGAAGATGTGATCAGGAAGTGGGATTGGAAATAAAGCTAGGCAGAGAGAGAGGAAGGGGGAGTTGAGGGGTGGGGCTTATTGATTAAATTGTATGATAGGCTGAAAACAAAGTCCACACAAGTTGAGATTTAAAGCATAACGAGATAGTCCCTTGAGAAGAGTGTAGGAGGAGGCATTGAGGTGAACATGGAGGAACAGCAAGGAGAAATGATTATTAGAGAAGGGGAAACTGCAATTAGCTCCTAAGCTGTGGGTGGTAGGGAGAATTCTGGGGTCTGGAGAACAGAAAACAGGGAAATGCCTCAGGGAGTCAGGAAGTGCCAACTTAATGCAGGTCATTGGTGAGTCTCAAAATGTCCTGGATGTCCTCACGTTCAGTCCTTCCCGTACTTCAGATAGTGGGAAAAGGACTTACACATTTGTGGGTAGGTAGATAAACATATAAGCTTAGGTTATTGTCACATTATTAATAATTACCAGCACTTATGGATAATTCATTATGTACAAGACAATGTGCTAGTCTACCAACATCTGCTATCTCATTTAATCCTTACAAAGGTAGGATGAGGAGGTTGCATTGTTATCTATACTTTGTAGATGTGATGATTGAAGCTTATTCAAGTGCTGGAGCCTGGATTTAAAAACAAAAACAAAACAAAACAAAAAACAATTTTTCCAACTTCCCTAATCTTGAATCAAGATAAAGAAGGGTAGAAGAGCACTAAATTCAGAAATATTTTATGAGTGGAAATTTAAAAAAAAAATGCCTTGATGTCAATGAAAGATGGAAGCTGTATAAAGTGACAGCATTGTTATTGTGGAATGATGAGAGTGACAGGGACAGTTAAGACCTGGCATTGGTGAAAAGAAGGATTGAAGGAAAAGCCATGTGGGTCGAGAGTGGACAGAGGAAAAATAATTGAGTTACCATGAAAACAGACTGAGCTGAAATTATATCCAAAGAAAGAAGGAAGGATGTTTAGTGAGAAGGAGATCTAACAATCTGCCCCATACTCCTTGGAAATTTATGGTCGCTTGGTCCTTTATGTGGTTTGCTCGAGGACGAGAGAAAGAAATGTGTGTGAAGGAAATGTTCGGTTTGCTTTTTATGGTTTGATTCTTTTTTTTTTTTTTTATTTTTCTCCTACGCTTGTTTTCCTTCCTTTTTCAGGTGAAGTGCTTCTGCATGATTTTAGCTGAAGGATGTTCTGCATTTCCTTGATTTCTATGGAGACCTCAAAGCTGGGTTTGCCCCTGCTGACACCTCATCTTGCACATTCTCTACCTCCCAAGGTCTTTGCCTCTGTCGATAGCTTGGCATTGCCCCTGGGTCCAGGAAGCTTGTGATGAACTTAAGGGTCAAGAGCCTGGAGAATCATCCTGATAGGCCTGAGCGGCGATGGCTGGACATACTTCGAGTCTCATGTTAACATGGGTCAAGCTGTCACTAGAAGGCAAGTGCTCAGACTAAAGGCTTATTTGCATTTTATTTAAATTTGATGGACTGAGCTTTGGACAGTTTCCACGGCAGAAAAATGTATTCCATTTTCTAGGCACAACTGCTGGCTGCCAGATACTTGCTGCCTTTAAATCTTGCAGCATCGGCATCGACCACATCCTAAACGTAGTTCCACATTTGAACATCTGTCCCAAAACAGGTGTCTGGGAGACCCCAGCATTTTCTGACTTAGGCTTGAGTGTGCTAGACTGTTTATCTAGACCAGCCCAGCTCTTCAGAGCAACGTTGAATCTCTGGGAAGAGAGAGCATGGGGCGTGCTGATTTAAAAACAGAAAATGCAAAGTTGGACTGAAAATATCCTTAGTCTTCCAAGCAATCTGCTTAAGGGTTCCAAACTTACCTTAATTTGGTGAGAAAAGAAGCTGCCCTATTTTTCTTTCTTCTACAACTGGAACCAGCCATTTCCCAAAACCACCACCATGGAGGTTGCAATGGTGAGTGCGGAGAGCTCAGGGTGCAACAGTCACATGCCTTATGGTTATGCAGCCCAGGCCCGGGCCCGGGAGCGGGAGAGGCTGGCTCACTCCAGGGCAGCGGCGGCTGCCGCTGTCGCAGCCGCCACGGCTGCTGTGGAAGGCAGCGGGGGTTCTGGAGGGGGCTCCCACCACCACCACCAATCTCGGGGATCCTGCACCTCCCACGACCCTCAGAGCAGCCGGGGTAGTCGGAGGAGGCGGCGACAGAGGCCTGAGAAGAAGAAAGTCCACCACCGTCCCAGCAGCTTTCCTCATTGCTCCGACCTGATGCCCAGTGGCTCTGAGGAGAAGATCCTGAGAGAACTGAGTGAGGACGAGGGAGAGGAGGAGGAAGATGAGGAGGAGGAAGAAGGGAGGTTTTACTACAGCGAAGATGACCACGGCGATGAGTGTTCCTACACAGACCTGCTGCCTCAGGACGACGGGGGTGGTGGCTACAGCTCGGTCCGCTACAGTGACTGTTGTGAACGTGTGGTGATAAATGTTTCAGGCCTGCGCTTTGAGACCCAGATGAAAACTCTGGCCCAGTTTCCAGAGACCTTGTTGGGGGACCCTGAGAAGAGGACTCAGTACTTTGACCCTTTGCGTAACGAGTATTTCTTTGACAGGAACAGGCCCAGCTTTGATGCCATCTTATATTATTACCAGTCAGGAGGCCGCCTGAAGAGGCCCGTCAACGTCCCCTTTGATATCTTCACTGAGGAGGTGAAGTTCTATCAGTTGGGAGAGGAGGCCTTGCTCAAGTTTCGGGAGGATGAGGGCTTTGTGAGAGAGGAGGAAGACAGGGCCTTGCCAGAGAATGAATTTAAAAAGCAAATTTGGCTTCTCTTTGAGTATCCGGAGAGCTCCAGTCCAGCAAGGGGCATAGCCATCGTCTCTGTCTTGGTCATCTTAATCTCCATTGTCATTTTCTGCCTGGAAACCTTGCCTGAGTTTAGGGACGACAGGGACCTCATCATGGCACTGAGTGCGGGCGGGCACAGTGGGCTGCTGAACAACACCTCGGCGCCCCACCCGGAGAACTCAGGGCACACCATATTCAACGACCCCTTCTTCATCGTGGAGACAGTCTGTATTGTTTGGTTTTCCTTTGAGTTTGTGGTTCGCTGTTTTGCTTGTCCCAGCCAAGCGCTCTTCTTCAAAAACATCATGAACATCATTGACATTGTCTCCATTTTGCCTTACTTCATTACACTGGGCACCGATCTGGCCCAGCAACAGGGGGGCGGCAACGGTCAGCAGCAGCAGGCCATGTCCTTTGCCATCCTCAGGATCATTCGTTTGGTCCGAGTATTCCGGATCTTCAAACTCTCCAGGCACTCCAAAGGCCTGCAGATCCTGGGCCACACCCTAAGAGCCAGCATGCGGGAACTGGGCCTTCTGATCTTCTTCCTCTTCATTGGGGTCATCCTGTTTTCCAGTGCTGTGTATTTTGCGGAGGCGGATGAACCTACGACCCACTTCCAAAGCATCCCAGATGCGTTTTGGTGGGCTGTGGTGACCATGACAACTGTGGGCTATGGGGACATGAAGCCCATCACTGTGGGGGGCAAGATCGTGGGGTCCCTGTGTGCCATTGCGGGTGTCTTAACCATTGCTTTGCCAGTGCCAGTGATTGTCTCTAACTTTAACTATTTCTACCACAGAGAGACTGAAAATGAGGAACAGACACAGCTGACACAGAACGCAGTCAGTTGCCCATACCTCCCTTCTAATTTGCTGAAGAAATTTCGGAGCTCTACTTCTTCTTCCCTGGGGGACAAGTCAGAGTATCTAGAGATGGAAGAAGGAGTTAAGGAATCTCTCTGTGCAAAGGAGGAGAAGTGTCAGGGGAAGGGGGATGACAGTGAGACAGATAAAAACAACTGTTCTAACGTGAAGGCTGTGGAGACCGATGTGTGAATCTCGTTCTCCACCTGCCACTGCCCCCTCGCCCCGAACCCCAGCATCTCCAAATATATTTATGCATAGAGAGTGCAGTTACGAAAATGAAATATGCAAGTGAATCCAATGCATACAGTAGTACACCATTTAATGGTTATACGTGACATAATTGTTACTAAACTTGTATTACATATCAAATAAATGATACATCTTGGAAAGAGGGAGGCTTAAATAGGAACAAATTGATCTTTATATTTTTTATTAGAATGCAAGAATTTTGCACATTAACTGGAAAAGAAGTTAAAAGTAAAGATGGTTTCATGGAGAGACTGTGTATGTGTTTGTGTATGTGTGTGTGTGTGTATGTGTGTGCGCGCGCGCAAGTGTGTATGTATAAGTAAATTGTCAACATTGTTAGTAATCGTGCAGTGATGGAGAAGTTGGCATTTTGAAGTATTTACTATGTAAGAACTAATGAATTTGAGCAGTCGTTTATCAGTGCTTTAATAGCATCTCATGTCTTTGGAATCCGGTTTTTTAAAAATGGTTAAGAATTACTGTACAGAAAAAAAAAAGAGTGAATTATTTAATAGAATATAGGTCACAATTTTATCTTGGATTTAATTAAAGTTTATTTTTAACTGGAAATTAACTTTTAAAAGGCTGCAGGGGCCTTTAGAAATTGATTATATTTTATTATTAATTTTGGGAAGATCTGACAGCAAATGCCTAACAATATGGAAGAAATGACATTGGAGACAATGTAACAAGTTTTGTTCACAGATATCAGGACTGGAATGTTTTAATTTTTTTCTTTGCACTGCTTTATATACTGGAGATTGAGAGAGACTTCATACTGTGAATGTTTACTAATGTAACAGTTCAATGACAATCATTGGAAGATTGATTTCTTAGTCTTATTTTATTGTTCTTTTCTTTGTGTGAGACTAATGGCCACCCAGATAACAGCACACGATTCCATTCTCTTTTTAAACCTAAATAACTGATATGCAAAGGGACTATGAAGGCAAATTTAGCAACTGAATCTTTTACAATTGGTCTGTTACAATGATGTTTCTGAAACCATACTATTTTAAATATTCTTCTGCCTTTAAATCCAAAATAATTTAACTAAAGCTCATGCATGCACTGAAAGAATTCTTGAAGAAATAAGATGCCCAACAGCTACAGTGATTATGGCTTAAGAGCTTTCTATTAAATGTGCAACATAAATGCTAGATTTATTAAATTTTTTTTTGTGCAGTTATGTAAGAGCAGAATGTGGGGATTTACCTTAGAATTTGACATTCTATTTGCTAAAATTGGTACAAGAAGGAATCGTGTCAAAGCATTTGGTTTCAACATCACCATCATTATTATATTTGTTAAAGGAATTAATGACATAACATTTAACTGTGTTTAACTCAACATCAAGGTGTTCTAGAGTGATCAGACTTGGCTATTAAATCATAATGAAATATGGGTTAGCAAATTCAGAATACGTAAGAGGTCTTATTCTCCAATGTTTCTTCAACTTCTGTTCTTTATAAAATGGTTGTCCTGAGGTTTGGGAAAAAAATGCTACATAGGGTATCTCACTACATGATGAACTCTGACAACTGTGAACTTAAAAAAAAAAAATAAAAACAAAAAGACCTAGAATAGCTCTTTTCAAGCTTTTTTAATTCCAGGCCATCATTTGATAATAATATAAAATTTACCTCTCTTTTAATATTTGAAATTCAAAGTTAATCCAATGTTAGGATTAAAAGCAAAGCTACTTCCTTTTTCCTACCACTTATAAAGAAACACCTCTAGAGAACACCTTAGGAGAATGAAAAGCAGCAAGCAGAGGAATTGATTAAATGTAAATTCAAAATTAGGTTTAAAAGCCAAGCTACTTCCTCCTCCCCACCCGTTCTGCACCACTTATATAGAAACACCTCTTGAGAACACCTTTGGAGAGTGAAAAGCAGTGAGCAGAGGAGCATATTAAATGTGTGGACCAAAGGTCGCTAGTGGACAATAGAGAGACATAACAAGGACATGCCATCTTGTAACAGGACTTCAAAGATAGCATTTTAATATTTTTTGGATCAGCAAAAATAAGCATTAGATTAGCTGTTTAGGTTGGTCACCATTCATTTGGAAAAGTCACTCAGTTAATCTCTGCACCCCAGTTTCCTCATTAGTTAAGAAGAGGGCACATAAAGCATTTGTTACTTCAGTTGTTATGAAAAGCAAAGGAGAACATGTGAGAACCGAAATGCCGAGTTCCACATAAACATCTGATTTTATCTCTAAATTGCTTAATGTTCCTCTAGGAGAAAAGAGAGATAGAACCTATGAGTTGCATCTGCTTTACTAGGATGTTGTGAAAATCATGGGTAATTTCTTTAATTTTGAGCTCCTTACAAGAAGATGATTTGCAAACACAAGATAACCAATCATTGAACAATTGCTGCAGTTTCTTCTTTGGGGGGAAGATTCCAGGCATGGTATGATATAAAAAAGTTGACTCTGTGGGCAAGGTACCATTTATCTTTTGTTGTACCAAACTGGGTCAAATTATATCTTAAAATAGTTTAAATGCTCTCCAGCATTGGATGTTTATTGAACATTCTATAATAGCAAGAGCAATGATTTGGCTATTTTTGGAAGGGAAAATATATTGCTATTTCATTGTTTAATATAAATATGAAAATTTATATTAAATTTAATTGACATGTATTATAATTAATAATGCTGAGAATCCAAGAAATACAGTCATTTGGGGATCCTGAGAGTTTCCTTTATCTTAACATGGTTTTCTTAAGGAAGGGTAAAACAGTCAAGAAGTGACAATCATGGACTTCCAAAGCAGATCTTATCAGGTTATTACTAAATGTATGTTTGTTTTTTTCCCTGCAAGATGCATAGGTTTTAGGATGTCAGGATCTGGATTCCACCCTGAGAAAGAAGCATTTAAGCCCTCAAGATTTGTACAGGGGCACGTCTGTATGGAACGCTTCTCTTATAGAGGATGTGTGAGGTAGAGTTCTCAGTGCAGCTGTGGATTTATAGCATTTTTCCGAGTCAAAGCTAGGCAGAATGCTTTAGCACCATTTGTGAAAATTTTATACTGAGAAATATGCTTTGAGGGGCTATTGTAACTAATTTAGGCAACTGTATATTCTTATAGGTCACCATACATGTTTGGCTGTAAGATAAAAGAGGTGACCCATTTAAAGATTTGAATTCTTGGGATCTGGATTCCTTTGTTGCTTTCTGGATGATAATAAATGTTACCAAAAGTACAATATTTGAGAGTCATCCTAATCAGAATCTTTTCAAGGATGGATACATTGTTCTCTCTTGCAAATGCTTGAAAAAGAAACAGTTATGTGTAACAATTCTGGAGAAGAGAGGAGGACTGAATACTTTGAATTTCTGTGGAAGGGAGCTAGTGGATGCCAGAGGAATAACAGCTGGTTTAGGAGTCCAGAGCTGGCTTGTCAGACCAAGGGCACATCATTTCATTTTCTTGATTCTCAGTTTTTGTTTGTTTGTTTGTTTGTTTAGTGTAAAATCAGGCTATTAGCCTACATTATCACTTATTCCTTCTAGCACCAAAATTCTTTGGAGTCGAAGGAAGTATTAGACTAGCTTGATATTTCCTGAGTACCCTTCCAAGTCATAGCAGCCTTGATTTCATAGTTAAGTAATAAGAACGAAATAGTTTTAAAGTCTTACTGTTAGGTTAAAGACAGCACCAGGAGTTTAGGGTTGAGTTTTTAGAATGTAAACTAAGCTGAATGAATAGGGTGTATTTTGAAGCTATTTATTCTAACAACTTCTAAAGGGAAGGGACTCATTTAAAAAATAACTCCTCAGTCTCCAGTTGAATACATATTGTGAAAGTTGGTAAGTAAACATTTTGATTTCTTGCTTTGTTATAATACAGTCTTGTCAGTAAACAGAGTGTTCCGACCTGTGCTGGAAAACTCATTTTATGCTTAGACACATGTAGTATTTCACAAGTGCTACTGCTTTCCTTGTCACATTTGTTTTAAACAGGATCGCTGGAGCTTTGTGAAAAATCTTTTCATTAAGCATGTGTTTAAATAGAATCCATATATGAATAAGAAAAATCTAAGGAAAACACTCTGAGTTAAGATATATATATTTTTTTCATTTTTTAGAAAGTCAACATTAACCAGCGGAAAATTATTTTTAAATGCATTGGAATCATAAACAGTAGTACCCCCACATCCCAAGAGAATCAGAAATGGTGTTCTCCATTGTTGGTTTTCAGGATTGTGATGCATCTTCAGCACTAACATTGCAGCTATTTCTAGGTAAAGTGAGAAATAACACATAGGTTTGGTTTATATTTTTAAATGAACATGTAATGTGCTCATTTGCACAATGGAGAGTATAACATCCTTCTTTATGTTTTTGTTTTTTGTTTTTTGTTTTTATTATTGATACAGTTTAGAATGATTACGGGTTGTCATTCAGTGACAAAGGGGCCTGTTCCAGGAAATCTTCCTGACCCAAAAGTCATTCTGAATTCTGCAAGGGACACTTGGTGTGGACAAAAGGTACCTCTTGGTTTTCCTGCTTGCAAAGAAATTTGACTCAAAGCACAGGGTCTTACTGAACAATGTACCACTACAGGTTAGAAGACAATCCTACTTTCTAGTGTGGAGATCAGCATTCTTTTTTGTAAAAAGGTTGATGGAGTGGTTTGTGTTCAAGATTGAAGGAAGCAGAGCTATTTTTGCAGTAAATGGGAATATGTACTTCTGAAATGTAAATTAAGATTAGGACTGTGATATGAGTTTTATTTCTGATTCGGTTTTCTGTTTCCATAGCAGTCTCAATTTCTTACAGTATCTTCTTCATAAAAAGTATGCTAATACCTATCAGACCATATGGCCCAACTTGAGATTCAGAAAATATGGTTACTTTATTTATGGGTAAATAATCTCAGGGCAAGAGTTGAGTGCTTTGAAGAATGTAACACATATTTAATGAGCTGTGGCTCTAAGTGAGACTCTAGCACCCCTTTCCAGGCTTGTGGATAACACTAAGTGGGAATGGAATAGGAATAGATGTACAAAGCGAATAATATGCTAAGTAAGGTGTCTTGGTGTTGTTTAGAAAAGGATAGTCCTGTATTCACTGGTCATGGTGTTGCTGACCTGCAGTTATTTTTGATCCATTTGTTGTCACTGGTGTCCTGAAAGGAGAATTTGTGTCTAGAGCGAAGTGATTTTGATAGCTGATCCACAGTCAGCCTCTGCTTCTTGACCTGCAAATTATCTGTTGTGTAGATTTTAT